ATGATTTAATCTAATTGTTTTTATTAATTATATTAATTATTTTAATTTATTGTCTATATGTTACAATGAGAAAAGAGAATTAGTGGTTACTATAATTATTTTAGTGATTTAATATAATATATATTTTAATTAAATTATGATTGGTTAATGGAGAGGAGATGAATATCCCTAGGGGTAAATCCAAAAATTGTTCCTTATTTTTTAATTCGTCTCGAGCCCCGCTGACATACACACGGCACTGCCAGTACCCGCTGACATAATTAAGCAATTTGATTCATCGTGCATAGGAGAGGGAAGGACTTGTCTAGGAGGTCATTTTCAGTCTTATATGTCCTGCTATTGGCTTGTAATCGGATGAGGTCATTTCTTCGTTAACACTGGAATCCCCAAATAACGCATCATCAGGTTCTAGAAGAAATTCCAGCTGAAATCAAGTTCGTTTTTTTTATGCTAATCTTTAAGCATGTCCTCTCTGCAAATTTATCAAAACTATTGATGATGCCTTCAATTTTTAATTTTTAATTTTTCTAAAGTTGAAACATTATTTATTTTCATTATCAAAAAAATTTCACCAATAATAAAGAAACAAAATTTAAACTGTGAAAACACTATCAACAATTGATTAATTTTGCATAGAATAGTAAGAACATCAAAAAATAATAAACCCTCATTAAAAAAGGTTAATTTGCAACATAACAAAAAAATAAATACTCATTAGGAAAATGACAAAAAAAAGGGGATTCCTTTGTAAAACACTATAGGGTTTTGCTAAGGTTTTTGTCATTTCCCTAATTAACCCTAATTTTTTTTGCTATCAACCCTGATTTCCCTTAAAAAAACAATTTAAGGAGTATATGAAAATCTAAATATTTATTAAATATATAAATTTTAAATACATTTAATACTCGCACGGGATGTATACAAAGCTACTAGTTTACCGATAAAACGCAATTTGGAATGACTTATTGGAAAACATTCAGCAGAAGTGGTGTCATTATTCGGCAACCAAAACTAAAACAATAGAAGAGTTTTTTGTTTTAACAACTATAGAGTGATCTAATTTTTACCGTTCGACTAATCTTTTATGGATAAGTGTACTCGTCGAGTAACTTATTCACCGGATTTTCTAATGGGACTGAATCATAGCAACAAGCGAGAACCATTACTCCACTACCACTCTGTTAAAAGTAACA